CTCAAACTCGAAACAATACTGACGATGCAGATGAACCTGGCCCAAGTAAAGGACGCAGCAGGAAGAAAAGGCCACGGGCAAAGAAACCAAGCTGGAGGCTATTGAAGAAAAAGAATCAGAAGACATGACAAACACCACCCAAGCAACTGTGGACACAGGAGAAGAAACAGCGCAGGGTGAACAGGCATCAGCTGACAGAGCTCGGAAAGATGCCGCAATTGAAAAGGAAAGAGACTATCTCAACAAAGCAAACATAGACGCTGAACAGGAGATAGATGACTTTTTAAGAAAACACGGAGTGTCGACGGTCTTTGGTTCTTCAGAGAGGTATGCTTCTCTACCTATTGTCCAGCTCCAACCAGGGGAGATCGTCCCTCTTTCTGAAATTAGGGACCCTGATTGGGTGAAGCACGTTAAAGTATGGGATTTCAGAGACTCTTTTCGTCTTATGCATCCAGGAGTGTGGGTCGAACACTTTGATCTGGTGAAGTGGATTTGGACCTACTCAGACTATGCCGGGTTTGACCCATTTGTGATCACTAACATCATTTTCAGCTCCAAAGACCGTTTCAAGAGCATGTTCGAGGTCATTATGTTAATGTGTATAATTTTTATGGAGCGTGGCAACAATGTTTCGAAAATTATCAACCGCTCGTCGCCAGAATTGGCAGACATTGTTAGAAGTCTCCGGGATATATACAATATCAAAGATTCCACTTCCAAAGGTACAAACTGTCGACAAGTAGTAACATTGGCACGTGTGGCAGCTTCATATTCATGGGCTTGTTGCGAAGTCATGCCCCTGTGCAGACATCCGGTGGTATCAAAAGCTCGTGTTGACGAGTTCGTCAGGAGAAATTACCCAGAATCAACCTCAGACTACCCAATACACATGTGCTGCGTCCCGTTTTCAGCTATGATTCCAACTGATGTCGAGCATAACACTCTCGTTGAGCTTTTTGCCGCCCACGTAGCTTACCACATTGTCTTAACAAAGACCATTAATCCTCTGGTCAGAGATAG